GTACACACATTGGCTTAAGAATTTACGATATAGAGTTTCTAAAATGTAAGGATTTTATGCAATTAAGAAAAGTAGAAAAGTTTCTTCCGCGAGGAAAAAAATTAACACGTTGAATTCCATAATAAATAACACCCAACTCTTATTAATGTATCTATTGGATAGCTCTTATGAGAATCGATCGATGAATCGATATGGTGAATTTGGTTTAGTACAATATGCAATCTAATTCAATCAGGAAATGTTTAAACTGGTTGGAATCTATGTTTGTTATGATCATATGCTCATCGAGCATAGTTTAACAAAAAATGGTCGATTTTATTTGAATGATCTTCGTCAACGCTCATTTTGGTAGATTTGTTCAACTCAATTTTTTTTTTTTTTGAAAAATATGTAAGATCAGAAGTGGTCCTGGAAATTATGCCTTTTCTTTGCAATAGACTTGGGTACTTAAACAGTAGAATTTGATTTGTCTGGTGATATATATCATTTTCAAAATTGAATAAAATCGAGAAGTTGAAAATAAGTACCATACGTGTGCACTTTTGTTTATGAAGAGATCTACGGGTGTTAAATGGGACGAGACGAACCATTCTACTCACCTATTGTCAGACTCGACTTGGCTCTTGATCGTATATCGGATAAACCGAGCACGAGCCGGATGCTAAACAAAAACGTGACTTGTCAAAAATTTTTTTTTATTGAAATTACATAATTCTCTCAATTTGGCGAGTCTGCTCGTGTGCGGCTGGCCAAATCGCTGCTCGACTCATACCTTTGACTTCCCACTTTACACCCTAGAGAGAGCATAGAAGGTAACAAAAGAAATTCAAAGGAAGCTGGTTTAGTTTGGGCCATCTACGAAATTTATGGGCCGTCCAAGTTCAAAACCACCGTCCTCAAAGCCCCAAATTTTGCAGATGGACCATACTCCTACAGCCCATCTCGTTCCAAAATCATACCCAAACCCAAACCCAAACTCAAAACTTATTGTTCTAGTTTCGTGCCTGGTCGTGAGAAACCAGACGGGCTTCTATAATTTCTCTGAATAGGGTGGGAGAATACTGTCTATACTTCTGCAATTAGACCAGTTTTCTCTCAAATGTCTATTCAAGAACATCTAATTTATTCGATTTCTGTCAGTTCCATCTCTAGCCCATTTTGATCCGTGCTATGCAGATTCATTTTCATACGATTCTGATTCGGGTACCCATAACTACATTTTTGTGTTGAAGAGCGATAATAATGGTAACTGTACAGAGTTGAGTTCAAATGAGGTCATTGAGATTCTAAGCAATTTGAAAAAAGAAGGCTCTTTTGCATTGTTTTTCTTTTACCAATTAAAGGAACATGGATTTCAGCATGATGTTCACACGTACATGGCAATTATCAAGATACTTAGTGATTTGTGTATGGATAGGGAGCTGTGTTCTGTTTTATCCGAGGTTTTAAAGTCGGAAAAGGAGTGTCTTAGTTTTCAAGTTTTGGACTTGTTGGAGGCAATGGTGAACAGGATTGAGTCCGATGGCCTTGGTTCACTAAGTCGGGCTATTCGTGCTTTGATTAAGGCATATGTTAGTTTATTCATATTTGTAGATGCCATTGACACATTGTTCAAGATAAAGAGGCATGGAGTTGATCCATGTTTGTTGTCTTGTGACTTTCTGATTGATAAGTTGGCTAAACATGGGAAAGTGGATATGGCTGTTGCTCTTCGTGAGCAAATGAAGTCGCTTGGGGTGACACCAAATGTTTTCACATGTACTGCGAATCTTCACGGACTTTGT